CATATTGTAGACCTTTAGCCTGACATTGACGCAGACCTCGCATGTTCAAGTTCAGATCTGATAGGTGCCGAAAATATTGATTCCGACATGAATGCAATATCTCAGTGGGTTATTGTTTTCCTAAGTAAGTGGAGTGCTTTCTACAACATTGGAGATAATTGTATCGTTGTCCTTCTGATATTCCCCCGAACGGAAACTCTACCCATTTAGGGTACAATGTGTTTGTTACATAATTGTAGGGAATAGTCTTAAGACTTTTCTACTTTGACCAGGATTCTTCGAACTTGCAACAGTCGTTTGAGAAAATCAAGAGAGAAAGGGGTAATGCGCGATGTATCTGGCGGACGTATATGGAGAAAGTTCGAAAGATGTTACTGTATAAATACAAAAACAGAAATACCGGTTATGTTTCACTCACTTACTTGAAAAGTTATAAATTAACAATAAACGCAATTAAATTATAAAACACCTGTCGACAAAGGACAGTAAAATAACTAGATTATCACAGTAAGAGAATTATAACTAGCATGTAAGTTTTAAAATTAGCCAGAGATATGATTGTGAAAGATCGCAATATGTATCATCATAAACGGGACCAGATAAAAGTACATGTCATTCATCCCCACATTATATCCCTTTTATAGACAAGGGACATCGTTGTTACAGGTAGGGCAAACACTTTCTTCTGTATGTATCTGCCAGTTTCACGCTACATACATGCATTCAGATTATTGAGAAAAGTAGCGACGCAAGTTCTCCTTCATCACACATATACTAGTATATAGGCCCAGTGTGATAGTGATTCAGCAACTTATCAAAATGTACGACATACACTATCATCTGCAGTAGTACTGCCATATCTAGCATCGTATTTATTACTCTCTTACATAAGTTGAAATATCACATGGTAACGATAATTTGGCATACTATTTATTGTCTTATTCTTTAATCTGCGATTAGAATTTAAATCAGTTTTGACGTGTGCATGTTTAGAGAAAAGAAGCTGTAAAACGTAAAGTATTGTGATCGAACCTATAGGCCTTTGTAAAAGCAGAGACCATATAATAGATAATCATACGCTTCTAAATGGCGTCTAACATATAACCCATCAAAAAGTTCCATCATCGTTTTTAGCAAAAGAAAAGGCTATGATGTAAACGTCCACTGTAGCATTGGTAACATCCCAATCCCCTTATCAGAATCTACCGTATATGGGGGTGTACTCTTTACAAGTAACCTCTCAACAAAAACTAGAAGTGAAAAGTATTGTCAGAAAGCAAGACAGAATGTAAACTCACTTAGATCTATTGGACTGAATGATTCTGACCTACATCCAATCACTTGTGTTAAAATATGGCTCAGAATGATTCTTAAAACTAGTCTCTATGGCTGTGAAGTATTACCAAACATCAAAGTCCAACAGGCTGACACCTTTGAACAAACACAAAGATACTTTGCTCGTCTTGTGCAAGGTCTTGATAAGAGGTCATCATCAATATCTACCATTGCAAATTTGGGATTATGGTCACTAACTGGGTATATCGATAAATGTAAACTACTATTTCTTAAGGCGACTATGTAACACTGAGTGTAACAACTTTGCAAAACATATCTTTGTGCTGCTATTGCAGCTTCAGTAAAATCTAACAACATCTGTGATGATCTTTTATCAATATCTGAAAAGTATAATCTAAATACATTTGTTGACAATTATATTGCTCAAGGCATATTTCCTCCAAAACGGGTATGGAGAAGAATTGTAAATGCTACTGTACATAGTTATGAAGAACAATTATGGCGATCAAAGCTCTCTATCGTTCAAACATGTCATTTTACGCAACAACTCATACTACACTCTCTTATCATACTTTCTGGCAACTGGCATATAAACACCCTAATTATAAATCTTCTTTGCAATTTTGTGTCAAAATATTATCAAGAGGTAAAATCTCAAAAGAGTGTGCTCTTTGTAATAAACAAACATTTGACTATGATTTCCACATGCTTCTTCACTGTGAAAACCTACTACAACAACGAAATGATTTCTTTGCATACTTAATTGATAAACTTGATGTTGAAACTTACGTAATATTTGAAATGCAAGGTGAACAAGATATGTTGTCATTTCTCTTCGAGCAGAAAACGACTTTATAACTCTATAGATTCAACACTATGGGAAACCATACTGTTACGCTTTTCTTTGTATGTATGTGACCTGAAACCTCACCTTGTGAACTGTTATACAGAATGATTCTCTTCATGTCATAAATTTCTGTACATATTTCTCCAAACATCCAATTGTTAATATTCATGTACGTGTTGTAATAATATGATGTTTTTGTTTGTAATCTTCGGTAACTACTGGAGGAAATAAAGACTCTCTCTCTCTCTCTCTCTCTCTCTCTCTCTCTCTCTCTCTCTCTCTCTCTCTCTCTCTCTCTCTCTCTCTCTTTCTTCTGTATGTATCTGCCAGTTTCACGCTACATACATGCATTCAGATTATTGAGAAAAGTAGCGACGCAAGTTCTCCTTCATCACACATATACTAGTATATAGGCCCAGTGTGATAGTGATTCAGCAACTTATCAAAATGTACGACATACACTATCATCTGCAGTAGTACTGCCATATCTAGCATCGTATTTATTACTCTCTTACATAAGTTGAAATATCACATGGTAACGATAATTTGGCATACTATTTATTGTCTTATTCTTTAATCTGCGATTAGAATTTAAATCAGTTTTGACGTGTGCATGTTTAGAGAAAAGAAGCTGTAAAACGTAAAGTATTGTGATCGAACCTATAGGCCTTTGTAAAAGCTGAGACCATATAATAGATAATCTATTATATGGTCTCTGGTAAAAGCAAGTTTCAAGCCACCTACATACAAAAAGACTGTTTTTATGATAAATGTCTGTTAATCCGTGGCACAATTCCGACCATATCATGAGCATGTGTTTGTGAATCATAATCAAATGGTGATGTTACAAGGTGTCCATGCTGCGTGAACAACACATGCAAACGCACGAGAATTGCAATACGGGTCTCTAAACCACTGATTCTCCGTGACCTGGAGACACATGTGATTGAGCGTATGTAGGGATGGGTAGAAGACAAAATGGATACACGTGCTGTTATAATTATTCAATTATAAGACAAAAACATTCGTTCTTGTCTCGGGATTAATGTATATTTTCCAGTTTCAACCAAATGTACATTTGAAGGATATCGAAATCTAGGTTAAACTATTTGAATCATATTTACAATTAAATGACCCAAACAATGGCCTGTTGTCCATTTTTTTGGTTTTCCATATCTTGTCCCAGTCTGTATCATAGTCACAGAACGATAATATTTCCCCATCTGCCCAGCCCTTACTGTAATGCTTACGCCCTAAATGAAGCATGTCCAGATATACCCAGGTTCAGAGTCTGTTATAATCTGCAGAAAACTCACTGCAGGGTTAGGGTTACAGACTAAACATACCAAACACCAATGGCTGGCGGGACCAACATCTTCAGTAACATCTGCCAACGCTTAATACGCAAGTGGTGAGGCAATCCGCTATGAGGCTAAGGGTCCTGTGCCATGTTTATGAAATATCTATGATGCCTTAAGCAAGTCCAGCTGTGTATGGCTTTAAGTCACTGCTTGAAGAAAGGCTCCTTTAGAATTTTATTTGGTAAATATTAGTATTTCACTGACTCAATCATATTGGAAAACACATGGCAACCTATACTTCATTGTGACTATGATTAAGGCATCATTGTAAAACACAAGGGTTATTTCCTTTGAGTTAACTGACAGGCTTTTGGTGTCAAATATTTGGAACTCCGGCCAAAGGTGATGTTATGCTGTCTGGCCTTTTGTAATGCTTTGGTTGCACTTAATGATAAGTGATTGTTAAATGTACATATGATGTTTTGAAGGATAATCTCAGTTGACTCAGAGACTTTGCACGTGTTTCCCCAGTCTTTCCACACCCATACTTCAGTTTTATGTTAGTGACATGATCTGCACACTGATAATATAAAACAGGTATATAAATGATAATTGTTTGCAATCTTTACCCAACGCCTATACAGAATAAAGAAGTTGTATATCCATAAAATAGTCCTCATTCTTCATCTACCCAACTTCTAGAATGCCAATCAAAGAAATCTTTACCCAATTTAGTTTTCCTTTATTTCGCAATTTTCGGTTTCTATTTCCTGGAAATTCCGTTTCACCCAATAACAATAAAGCATGCAGATTATACGCTTCGGTACTTTGATAGTTAAATAAGTACACATTCTATAGCATGATATTTGGATGCCAAAATGATTAACATAATTGTATAATGTATCACAAATCAGACAGCCAAAGCAAAAGCAAAATGAAAACGCATGAGCAACATGAATGCTGACAGGTAGCAAGCTGTCAATAATTATCGAAACTGCTTAGTTATCTAAGTTTATGAACTAATTGCGATCACTAGAATTTTCTATGATCTACCCAAGAGATGGAATCAAAATAAGTGTACAGTATATACCATCTGGTAACTAAAATTTGAGAAAACGTCCGTATGGGATAATATCTGTATTCCGAATACAAAAGAGGCCATACCAAGTATGTGCATGTTTACACATTTACAACAGTAATTTACATCGGGAATCATTAATACATTGTAATCATCTTTTTGAAAGTATAGATAATGAAATTAGTGCAGCTATGATCCGTCGGATAACTCATACAAGTGTGCACTAAAATTAGGGACCTACCGGTTCATGTCTGTGTGAACACACCTGTCTGTCTAACATAAATATTGCCCTGAGCCATAGACCCGATATTTGAACCTTTTAAACAGACATCAAGTGAATGTCACGAAAGGCACGCTCGTTAATAGTGCAGCTCAGTCATGGGTATCGCCATGTGTTTCTACTAAAACGCGCTGACGAACCCGATGTGACAGTTATATTACAGAACCATTGAAATACATGTTATTATTCACAGCGTCGATGGAGTCTCACACGTTTGGGAAATGGGACTACGCAGTGTTTGGTGTTATGGTGGCCGTCTCGGTGAGCATCGGTATATACCACGCCATAGTCGGCAGGCATGGTAAACTGGACGAGTACCTGCTGGCTGGACGCTCAATGACTTTCTTCCCTGTCGCACTGTCGTTGATTGCAACGTTCACGTCGACCATCACCATGTTGGGAGTGTCGGCAGAGGCGTATAGTCATGGCATCATGTGGATTCTCAGTGAGATAGCCTTCTCCACGGGACAGCTTCTGGAAATGTTCCTCCTGTTGACCGTTTTGAAGAATCTGAATATCTCAAGCCCATTTCAGGTAGGAAAGCATATTATATATTTTGTGAAATGGGATATGTTTTATCTCACTTTATTACCCTGAATTTCAAAAGGGATATGCATTATCTCACTTATTTCCCTGATTTTCAAAAGGGATATGCTTTATCTCACTTTATTACCCCGAATTTCAAAATACATAGTGCTTTATCACACTTTTTGATCCTGACTTTCTGTGTGCAACCCCTGAGGCAAAGCTTCAGTCACGCTGCTATGTTTAGTTAGCTACAAACAGGCGATTGCTTCAAGAGTGTATGTCAGTAGTGAATTATGCCACATGCTCATCGCTTGGATAGATAATTTTTGTTGATATTGTCAATTATGTTACGCAGTTTACTTTTCTATTCAGACAAAATGTATGAACAGACCATATATCTCCCTTGTAGTATCTCGAGGGTCGCTTCCAATCCAAAGCTCTCCGCCTGATCGCGACGTCAGCGTCGTGTGTACAGACTGTAAGTACCCGTGATGACCCTAGTTTTGGTCTTCAGCAACCCATGCTTGTCCTAAGAGGTGACTAACGGAATTGGGTGGTCAGGCTTGATGATTTGCTTGATCCATCGAAACCCATTCGAGTACATCAATGCTCATGATGTTGTTTACTGGTCCAGACTTGAGTATTTACAGACTATGGGCGCGCCACCAACCTCTGTGTTGTATCTCGTACTGATCACGTTGTGACCATTTTTTACAGAACGAAACCCGTACCCTTTGGTTACCACAACGTGACAAATATCTACCAGTTGTTTAATTTGGGGCTTTCACTAGGCCAGACTAATGGAAGAGTCGAACTTTTCCGTAATGAAGCGTGGAAGGTTTAGTAAGGGCACAATTCGCAATAAACGTAACCTCTGATGATATTAACATGATTCTACAAATAAGTGTATACACGTTTGACAGTTTGTATATGTAATATACATAATAATATGTATAATATATATACAAGGCTTGAAACCCTTATCTTTATTCTTAAAGTTACAGAATGCATTTCTCCTTATTGCTATTTACAGATTTTCTACATGTGCATCGTTCTGGTTGGACAAGGGCTCGCGTTGGGTGCTGGTAGGAAAACAATGAATGTGTTCCCACATGATGCCATTTTGTGTTCGTTGTCCTGCTAGCGTGCACGTGTTGACGGGTGTTTACCTCATCTGAGCCACACGTCTACACATGCGTCAGATATTCAGTTGGCAGTGGCTTAATATATGGAAAACAGCAAGCTTTAGCTATATTCCATTCAAGCCTTACCGTATCAAAACTACACACACCATGTCTTCAATGTGACTCTTTACCTGTGTTGGGCTGTTCTCTTAATTACTATTGCTTCCGGTTTCACCACGCTAGAAGAACACGGTACCATATATTTACTATTATACCGAAAAGGATTGGCAATAGTAGAGATAAAAGAATAAACAGAACACCGCTTCCGGTGGTGCTAACACCACTTTCGGCGGTGCTCTGACGTAGCTTCCGGTTTTATGCGGTGCATCGAGTCACGTGACGTCGTATAACCTCGATATTTCCATTCTTCTCAAGGTCAAGTCAATAACCGGGTGGGGGGGTTGGTTGGTTGGTGGAGACGACAGTAGCTCTATTGTATTTTAATGACCTCCCGTCCTCGACTCGTGATGTTTTATTACTTCGAGGTCTATTCGTCAAAAGGATGTTGACGCGTTATATGGTGACGCTAACGTCGTACACGACAATCGTATGGCTTTGAAAATCGCCGGATGACGGGATCCTCGAGGACGGATACGATCGTGACGTAACGGGACCGCCGAACGCCGAACCCTCTTCGGGACGGTGTATTTTGTGACGGGTTTTAGGAGGGTGGTGGGTGGTGTGGGAGTGGGTGGTGGGAGGGTGGAGAGAGACGCGCGACTCGACGTTTATTATCGCATTTGCGGGTTTCAGTGGTCGCGTAGCTGCCAACGACGGCGAGATATTGACGTGTGTTATGTCATTTATTATCCAGTGGAGAAGAAAATATATATAGAAGGCACCTGTATATCGTCGTGGTTTTAAACCGAACGGAAGGAACCTTTCGTATCACGCATTTTGCGTAGCAACGCCTGAGACTTGACGGGTAAGTACAATGTTATTTTTCGTTTGTTTGTTTGTTTTAAACTGTATTCTAATACACTTTATAGTACTATTTAAAAAAATCCCCAAGGAACGAGAAACGTGTGAAATGTTATTGCTTGAATAATTCAATCACGAACACTAAAACCTATATAAAGGAAATTTAAAACATTCTCTTGAAGTAAATATTATATATATATATATATATATATATATATATATATTTCAGAAAAGGAGCGATGTCCAAAGCAACGAAAACAAGCATGTGTAAATGTGAAAGAATAACTGCAAGCGAGTTTGACAAAAGAAGACTTGAAAAGTTTAGCAACAACAGAATGAAAGTAAGCGAACTCCCTCAGAACGAACCGCTGAAAGTACTAAGCAGAGAAATGATCGCGATAAATGGAGAGACGGGAACTATCCAGTTATTCAAGTTTGTTGTCCAGAATGAAAGTGTTACATCGGGCAGCAGAATGGAAGTCCTTATCCCGGAGAGGTTTACCGACCAAGCTTCTGAGTGTACCCATATTGTTTATCAAGGTCAGATTCGAGCCAAGAAAGGACACATGGTGAACGACCTGTTGTTCTACATAGTTGAAAAAGAAGAAGAAACCTGTTCATAGCAGGTGGGACTGCCTATCAATGACGAACAGTCATCAAGCTCCTCTATCATCAACGGTCAGACAAAAAAATGCTATATCGGTGATGACAAAAAGTCAACAGAACCCGCTATCAGCGATAATGAGGGACGATGAAGAAACAGGTATGTGCAGAGGACATGATATTGCAGGGGAAACGAGTTCCATCAGATATATCTTCTGCACTGTCTGTGGCGAGCCGAATCATGACGCCCAGCATCCCATAGAGGAAGATCAACATAGGATTTGTGATACATGCGGCAAACTCACGCATGAGGATTGGTCCATTGTCAACTCTTACGTGATGTAATCCTTGCGATGAAAAAAAGTTATGTAATGTCAAAAGAGGTTGGAGGGTGTTGTCGGTGTTGTATCATATAACAGTGATGGTAAAGCATAGCTTGTTATTATTATACTATCGATTGTTTATTCGTGAAGAACTAAATTATTGTGATTAATAATCCAGATTGTGTTGTATCAGCGGTGATATATATGTAATCAATGTAATTAATTAAATAGAACGGTGATAGAGAAGTGACTTGTTATTCATTTTTTAATGGAAAATGAGTTGATTATCTAATCGTTGATTCGCCTAACAAAAATAGTCATTCTATATCCAATTTTGATGATATAATGATTATCTTAGTCAGAAATAGGTAATATGTAATGAAAGTAACTAATAGGTGTATATAAGTAAATAGAATGTGTATCACCTCAGTCTACTGTGGACTATTGAAAATGACGGACTGTGAATATCAGAGTGCTGCTGCTGCTGAGGAGTGTGCTGGTGCTGAGCTTCAAACGGAGAAGAAAACGTGTGAAGATTCACTTTGCTCAATGTTGAAAAGAAGTGTCAGAGTGAAGAAGAAACACCTCCCTCGTGTTGCATTGGGGCTATTGTTATCACTTTTAACTTGTTCTTCTATAGCGGAATGGACTATCACAAGCACCGACAGTCGAATGGAGAATATTCTACCAACTGAGATGCATCCGATGGCATTTGTTGCCCGCAACGATATCAACACCAGTGTCATGTGGTGTCCTGACCATCAGGTCAAGTTATCTTCCTCCACACGACTCAATGTATGCAACGTTTTGAACAAAACGATTCTGGACATTCGTCTGTTTTTACACGATAAACCTACTATCAAAGGCATTGTACTTTCTTTGAATGAATGGAAAACGTTACTTGGGTTGTTACCCTTCATCCGTCACGAAGTGCGGTCAAGTAATCATCCTGATGTGCAAAGAAAATAATTCACAACCCCACATTTTATGACATTGATAATTCAAGATTATGATATACACGTTGAACTATAATCATAAAGGTGTAACCACTCAATCTATATGAAGAAAACAAATGTGTTAGTTTTCTATTGTTATTTTTTGTTTTCTTAGTAATTATTTTTTTCATAAAACATGTGATACACGGCGTAAAAGAAAAAGAAACGCATATCACAGATTGTTGTCAATGTTTTATGTGAAAATATGAGCATCAGATGACTTATCGATGGAACAAAAGTTACTGCAATGATTACAGCATACAGTGTAGACATGGTAAACAGAAAATCACACTGTAATGAAGTCAGACGAAATCAGTAACGATTATGACCACCATTAGAGTCAATCACACCCTGACACCGTCTACCTATGGACAGACCTGGGAATGTCCACGGAAGAACCTGAATGTTGTTCTGTACCAGGAACACCGTATGCCTTGCGTTATGTGGTCGAGCATTATCCTGTTGAAAATTGATGTTTTGTCTGTTTATGAACGGAATGACGTGTGACCTTGTTGATTTCATCACAATAACGTCCAGCTGTGAGATTCCCCTGAATGTAAACGAGATCTGTCCTACCACTGTACGAAATGGCCAGCACACACCATAACATCACCTCGCATATTCTGTTGACTTCCTGAACACAGAATAATGTTCATGACATCGTCTATACATGCGCGATCTCCCGTCTGCACGTCTCAGTAGAAACCGTGGGGTTCCCATGCTTTTGAAAACAATGCCACAATATTCCCATTGTGCTCTAGGATACGTGTAGGCGCTTGCCACCGCTGATTGTGATTCACCAGCCTCCAAATGTCCAGTCGCATTATTCTGTTGAGCCTCAGTAAGCTTAGGGATGACTTTACACCGCAACTACGTGTTTGAAAACTGTCACTAACATGGCCACAATCCGAGGGTTTTATTCATACACGAAGTACACTTGTGTTGGTGTGACATTAATTCCTAAAAATCCGACCAGACCTGAAAATATATCGTGACTAGAAATAAGAATATGTATTAATATGAGAAATACAATATTTCATGTCAAGCATAATACATAACTTAAAATATACTCTTTTTTTAATCTTCATCGAATAACCATGTTCTACTTACTTCGAAATATGTTACCGCCCGTATATCCCTTTCATATTGAAAATTCTACCAACATTTTTACCCGAATAATACAATTTAAGATCAACTATCAATATATCACTGTAAATAAATATAATTTCCTGTTCTTGAATACATTTATAAAATATACTCGGAAAATATCTTTGAAATACTTTGAAATACATTATAAAACGCTTGAAAAATTATATCTCTCATATTAATACACTGTATTTCATTACGTCGGTAGTTTTTGGGTTTATAAGTAAATTTGAGTAAAGTGTTTTGATGTTGTTTAATATAGTGCTTAAAAATAGGAAGAGAATGCAATCTGGCATATTTTGTAGTGAAGACATTGTTGATCTGGAAGTCGAAAAAACCCAAAATACTAATTCAAAATTATTACATGTTGTATTCTTAAAACATAGTAAACAATCTTCTCTTCATGATGATTCCAATACTCACATTTTATCCATGGTTGTGTGTTATCTAAGAAATAAATGGTGATTTAGGTAATTTGATTAAGTCACGTCACCGATTAAGTCGTCGGTATTAACGGTATCTTTGCTCGGTCTAAAACCATCGTTATAGCTAAAACACATGGAATTATCATCATCATGAAACGGCCCTCCCATTATCAGAAATTTGCGGGCCGCTGCAAATGATATTGGACCGCTCAACCTTAACGACGGGCCACTATCAGTTCTGTTGTCAAGTGACGTCATAGTGGGTGCGTCGGTTCATTCGACATTGGCTTTGGACTGGCAGATATTCTGGGTCAAACAAGTCAAAGCAACCCGAATTCCCGCTTTAAATAGCGGTAATATTAGCTTTCTTGCTGGTGCTAACCTTAACAATTGCACTATTAACGTTGTTGTTGGACCAAAACCGAACACTGGCATGGTTTGGTATGTTACAGGCTATGGTCTTGTCAAAGGCAAAGGTCGAATATCGTCACTTTCTGTTGTGACGTCACTTGATTTGTTCGATGACGTAATTGCATTCGGGCAGTCAACCCCGTCAGAAGTTGGTTTTGAGTAAACTTACAGTCAAATTCCTTCATTGTTTCCTTTTTCTTTTCAACACAAATTCCATGTATTTTAGTTCGTCGGACAGTTAATGGAAGACTGCGGGCTTCTGCAAATGATAATGCCCTCAAAAATAGCATTACCGTGTTACGAATAGGTGCGTTTCATATTTCTTTGTACTTACCAATAAATTCTTAGACGTTGGTAGGTAGATGTGTGACACCAAAGATTCCTTCTTTTTTTTTGCTTCGTCTGAAAACCACAATGAATAGGTGTCTTTTTACACATTCTTCTCTGGAGGTTAATTCATGACATAACGATAGTCAATCTCTTGCTATTATTTCTTTGACTGTTTTTACATTACCGTTATTTATTTTAAATGATTGGACCGCGTGGCATGGAACGCTAACACACTCGATATGTGTTTTAATATGTGACACCCTGGCGGACCATATTCCATTTCTAAAAGTCAGTGAAAGTAGCGAATGATATCCGATAAAACGGCAAGGTCTCGTTCGCTCGCATGATCCATATGACCATTTTACGGAATGGATTTGGCGTGATAAGGCTGTCTGGGCGCATACATAAAAAGTGATTGGATATTCAGAAAGGATCCATTAATGGTTACTCGATACTATAAGACAGCAACCCTGCCAAGTAAAGGACTACCCGTCAAAAAAGGTTCTCCGTTAGAGTGACATGTGTCAACTGAATTCCTATATAAACCATCTCCCTGTCATTTTCTGGCATATCATTACGGCTAATGTTCAAGTTAATTTGCGATTTGTTAACTCTCAAGGTAGTCGGAGTCTTGTAGTACAATCTGCTGCAAGGTAGAATCACTCCGATTGAATATGCAGATGCAATATCACGCATTGTTGGTGTATAAGTAAAAAGGAGTATAATGTTTCATGTATCATTATTTAAAGGTATCATGTGTGAATGTTATCATTGTTGGTGAATAAGTGATATGGTGATGTAAATGCCAGTATCATGTTTCATATATCATGTGTGAATGTTATATGCTGTGGTACAATAAATTTCAGAATAGACTGTACTTAATCCCTTGTTAATCCACCCAATTGTTAACTAGTTAACCACGAGCGACTGCTTCACACCTTGAAACAAAGGCAGTAGGCCCGCAGTGAATCTCGAATGACATCACCAATCACCTAATTTGTACGTCAGCCACTCAAAAGGGTTGAAGTTTCGAATTTTAGATGTAAAGATTGAAGGGAAAGTAAAAGTTAAATGAAGGAATTGGCCCCTGTGAAGCAGGAAACTTGACCAAGAAAAAACTTGGAAATAATCCAAGATGGTAATGAAAATTGACACAAGAGAGATAGTCTTACCAAAAACGATCCAAAGTCAGATGTGTGGAGAGTGGGGTCGAATAAGTTGCGTTCATGGTTATATGTATATATGTACATATTCTTTACAAACGTAAAATTTGTTTCCATCACGATAGATGTAAATGTCAATTTGGTCACTTTGTCTGTGTAGAGTGTGTTATGAATGGATCGAATCTGATGAAAAGTAGCTATGTTTTGTTTCTGTTTGAAAAGACAGTCTCTATACATCTGGTGGCGAAGATGTTTTTTGACAAAGGCTTTTTGCACCCCTTTGGCAGTGCGTTTCTCGACCCGTTCACTGGGAGTTTTGTCAAAAATAAAACTATAGTTTTTTGGTCGAAGTCCAACAAACAGTCTGTTGGTTTTACCACCCACTTCATCTTTCATCAGACAGATGACTTTGTGTCTTTCCATGGAATGAAGTGGATGGTCTTTGGGATAGTTGGCGGTATCGAAAAGATGAATGTTAGCTAACATAAAGTCTAGGGGATCGCGGAGAGGTGTATCCACAGGGGACCAGATCTGATAAAACAAACTATCCGTGTCTGTCATAAGTACCCTGACGTGATCGCTAGCATATTCCTTTAACATGACATTGTAATGGAAATCGTAGAGAAGTCTTTTTGCGTGTTCCAAAATAGTGAAACCCACGGCAACGGGTTGGTTCAATGTCACAGACACTTTTGAAATTAGGCTTTGCTGTGTACTTCCGCATCCTTTCCTCGGTAGCGATCAATTCAATCTGGTTGTAATTTCTTACGTTTTGTAACTGTTTTCCGTACACAGCATTTGAAAGCAATTTAAACAAATTTTTCGAAACGTCGTCTGTGGCTTCTTTTCGCTTTTGAGTGTTAAAGTCGATGTAAGGTTTCATCCATTTAGATTGAGTAAACTTTGTGTACTTTTTTCAGTTTCAGACCCAATCGTAAATATTGCTGCAATGTTTGTCTTTCAATGTTGAAAACAGTTTCGTCCCCGTGGGTGGCTTCCTTTCGTCCTTCTTTCCCATAAGACCAAACTATGCGAGCAATTCACGATGATAGGGTGACAGGTCTTCGAAGGGAATGCTTTCTTTGCTCGGAGCGAGGGGCAAGGATTGATGGACAGAGTGAAGATGACGTGGGTATTCCAAATCACACTCTAAAATGTAACCCACATCACCTTCGGGATCAAGTTGCAACCAATCGAGGATATCTATTTCATCTATTTCATCTACCCATTGAAAATCACCTTTGAGGCAAAGGACAACTCATGGCTGCTCCGTACAAATTGTGAATATCATAATACATCAGGTGAGATTCGGGTTTGGATGGGTC